TGGGGGTGGGGGGGATGGGGGGCGGGGTGGGGGAGGGCTCTGGTGATAATAATTTCAACGGATTTTAATGATGATGATGATTGTGATGATGATGATTTTGATGATGATGATTGTTATGATGATTGTGATGATTATGATGATTGTGATGATGATTTTGATGATGATGATGATTGTGATGATGATGATGATTGTGATGATGATTGTGATGATGATGATTGTTATGATGATTGTGATGATTATGATGATGATTGTGATGATGATTGTAATGATGATTGTGATGATGATGATTGTGATGATGATTGTGATGATTGTGATGATGATTTTGATGATGATGATTGTTATGATGATTGTGATGATTGTGATGATGATTGTGATGATGATTGTAATGATGTACATTTTGTGATGAAGAAAATCGTGATGATGAAAGTTCAGTTGAGAATGGATGATGACGATGATTGTGATGATGATGATGATTGTGATGATGATGATTGTGATGATGATTTTGATTGTAATGATGTACATTCCGTGATGAAGAAAATCGTGATGATGAAAGTTTAGTTGAGAATGGATGATGACGATGATTGTGATGATGATTTGGATGATGATGATTGTGATGATGATTGTGATGATGATGATTGTAATGATGTACATTCCGTGATTAAGAAATTCGTGATGATGAAAGTTCAGTTGAGAATGGATGATGACGATGATTGTGATGATGATTTTGATGATGATTGATGATGATGCACATTCAGTGATTAAGAAAATCGTGAAGATTAAAGTTGAGTTGAGAATGGATGATGACGATGATGATGATTGTGATGATGATTTACATTCAGTGATTAAAAAAACGTGGTGATGCACGTTTAGTTGAGAATTGAAAATGATGATGATTGTGACGATGATGCACATTCAGTGATTAACAAAACCCTGATGGTTATTATTGTTTAATTATGACGATGAGAATAGATGATCATGATGAGAATGGACAATTATGATATTGATTATCATTATGATTATTTTAACTACGGTTCAGTGATGATGATTGTGATGATGATGATTGTGATGATGATTGTAGTTGCTACTTCTGCTCCTCGTGATTACATCCATTCAATGATGATGATGGTGGTGGTGGTGTACTCCTATCAGTGTTGATGAGAGGTACCCGAGGCTGATTTCCCGAAAGAAAAAAACAAACATCTCACAAGAAAATGAAGCCATGATGATAATCACCACGCTGCTAATGATGAAGAAGTTGATGATGATGACGATAGTGGTGGTGCCACTGTTAACGATAAGTGCTATGATGAGGTAAAAAAAACCTAACACAACAAATGAAAACAACTAGATTAAATCACGACGTTTCGGGCGCAACACAAGCGTCAACCAAAGAGTATGAATCCTTGCAGTCACGAAAGCTTCAAATCTAGAATTAGTACCTAGAGTAGTTTATTGCTTATTTTTCTTACCCAGGCGAGAACTCAGGACACCCAGGAGAAAGTCTCGTATTATTTTTAATTTTTTAATTTTATTTGACCAGGTAAGGCCCACAGAGCTATGTAGATTTTTTTGTGTCAGAAGCGATCTGACCAAAGATGATAGCTCGGCGAAGTTGGGCTAATCGCCATGTGGACATTTTAAGCAGCCAATCACTCTAAACGCGTGATGTTGATTCTCAATCTGGAGGACCCGCAGGCAAATCCACGCGAACACGGCGATAGAGACACTCAAACTCCAAACATACAGGCCTCAGGGTCGGGGTCGAACCCGCGATTTCCTGTATACCAGGAGAGGCAGTTGACATTTCGCTACCGTTGTGCTCAATGGCCAGGAGATCGCCTTTCCACGTTCCCTTCTCGAAGCCTCATCTCGTCTCCATCACCCATTCCCTTTCAATTACCTCCCCTCGCCCCTCCACCCCGTCCCGTCCCTCCCCTGTAGCCCTTTCGTGATTGCCACGTGTGCCCTCTGTTACGGGCACTCATTCCACGGCCCTTGAACCTATCCCCTGCCATCTAAATCACTCCGTATGTTGTTACCGCTTTGAAACGACGCTATGAAGAGCATAATCGAGGTTTGTTTGGGTTATTTCGCGTGAATATAAATGTGTCGTTAAGCCCTCCACCACCCGACACAGCCAGTTAGTAAGGTTTGTTTACGTAAACAATACGTGCCAATTCGTTACTAGTACAGCAAACAGGTTGTGTGTTGGAGAGTAAAATTGTACTAGTAACGAATTGGCACAGTTTTGTTTACGCTACAAAACGTACTAATTTGCAGTCGGATGGTGGCGGGTTTAACGACACATTTATATTTACGCTACCTAACTAAAAAACCCTCTATTATGGAAAATATTGGTCGCGAAAGCTTGTTACGTGTCAAGCCTTGAGCTAAGGTGCCCTTTAAATATAAAATATGATAACAGATAAAACAATATCACACGTATAAAATACTGTATTTTCATTCGTAAATAATGATCGTTATGGTGATAGTCTACGTGCATTTCCAGTCACAGTAATGGCAACTGCTGATAGTTAATGGAGATTTCTGAAGATTCAGTGCCGCTGATGTTGATAACGCTGATGATTTGCCGATTATTACAAACATCATCATCATCATCATCATCATCCAGAACGACAACATCACCCTCTATTGATACCATCACAACCAAATGTCCCATCGTCCACCGCGACACTCACTGGACCCCCAGATGGACGTCTGCGACAAAGAGCTTCATAGCTCATCGGATTCCTCCAGGACAAATTCAGATTCTGATTCGGAAAACTCGTCGAACCTTCGGGAAACGCGCACGGCGGCAACGCATCCAGAATCAGAATCTGTATTGACCCTGCAGGAGGAATCCGATGATCTATAAAGCTCTTTGTTTCCCCACAGATGTCCAGTAAGGGCGCCGGGTCTCAACGTTACAACAACGAACAGTCAAAAACAACACGATAAGAGTGCAACGTATAAGAAAGATAAACGCATCACTTAATCAAATTGTTGAATACAACTTCTTGGTTCTTTCGGTAAAGTCACGTAGAATGGAAATAATAAAATAAAAGAATAAAAATAAAACATAATAAAACATAATAAAATATTATATAATAAAATAAAACAATAAAAATAAAACATAATAAAACATAATAAAATATTATATAATAAAATAAAACAATAAAAATAAAACATAATAAAACATAATAAAATATTATTTTATTATGTTAAATTTGTATTATTTTATTATTTCCATTCTACGTGACTTTACCGAAAGAACCAAGAAGATGAATCCCTGCAGTCACGAAAGCTTTAAATGTTGAATACAACTTAACTATATTTATTTAATCTTACCAGGCAAAGCAGACTGAACTATGTGATCGTCTTTTTCACAAGCGACCTGGCCGCACAAGTGATCGCTCAACGCAAGTGGCTCAAAAACAAATCCATTATTCGGGTCGCACTCATCACACAATAACAAACAAAGTTGCTTGCCATGAAATGCACCGACCGCAAAAGACCGCTGACTCTGGAGGTGGTCATCCTAGCAGCAGCCGCAGCAGCAGCAGCAGCGGCGGCAGCGGCAGCAGCAGCGGCGGCAGCAGCGGCAGCAGCAGCAGTAGCAGCAGCAGCAGCAGCGGCGGCAGCTTCTGGCTCAGCCATCAAACAAAGACGTCGGTGACGGAAATCACGCGTCGCTGTCCGATGCGCCATCGTGGCCGTCTGGAACGCTCGCCGCCTCCCGGTGTTAGGAAAGCCACCGCGAGCTCGTGCGCTTTGAAATCATCGAGATCAACAAACGCATTTCTTCAGCAACTGCGTTCCGTGTGTTCAGTTTTTTAAATCCTTTATATTAAGTTCGCTTGCTTGCTTGCTTGCGTGCTTGCGTGCTTGCTTACGACCGTGCAAATCTTTCGGTCGTTTTTTAACCCACTTCCCGTGATCCAATCGAGCTGACATTTTGCACACACACTCGTTGTGCGTGACAATTTATTTGCGTGAAAATTTTTTTCCAAAATTTTACACTGTTTAGGGAAAACAAATTAAATATTTAATTACCAATTGCTTAATACTGGCAGACAATCATCTGACCCATAGGTGGCAGCCATCTCAAGCCAGAGGACGAGAGGACTCTAGCCGCCACGCATATAAAGGATTTATAGTGAAAAACTTTGTTTTTACGGGTTATACTTATTTTATCCTTCCTCCGCACCTCCAATTAGCACGGTCGGCTCCGAACGGTGCGAAATAAGTTAAACATTCATGCAGTTGAACACGAGGACTTTCGAGACGAATATTATCCATAATGAGGGTTTTTGTGTTAGATCGCGGAAATTGAAATGTGCCGTTAAACTCTGGCGGTCGCCTGATGGTGCTGGTTGTAATTTATTGGCGAAACGTCGTACTCCGATTGTCAACGTTGTGGGTTTACTCTCCAACACACCGGTTAGTGCTGTACTCGTAACGAATTGGCACGTTCTGCTTACGATACAGACATTACCAATTGAATGGTTTAACGACGCATCTATGAATTTCGATTTAAAGCTTTCGTGACTGCAGGGATTCATCTTCTTGGTTCTTTCGGTAAAGTCACGTAGAAGGGAAATAATAAAATAATAAAAATAAAACATAATAAAATACAATTCTCACTTGTATTTTATTATATTTCATCATTATTATTTAATTATTTCCCTTCTACGTGACTTTACCGAAAGAACCAAGAAGACGCATTTATATTTACGCGATCTTAACCCTAAAAAAAAACCTGTTATGGATACATTCCTACGTACGGTGCGAAAGAGGTTCAACATACATACATACACACAGCCCAGACTTCTCCCCACTTCCCCTCCCTCCCTCTCACCATCATCACACCCTCCGAGGCTCACTACCACCCCCCCAATCTCCCCCTCTCTCTCTCGCTCCCTCCCTCTCTCTCCAACTTGCGTAACACTCTTGAACTCCACCAGTTCTGAATTTCGCAACCCTCGCCAAGCAGAAGGAAGGGACTTAGCTCCGGTTAAGTTGGTAGATCGGGTGGTTGGTTGCAGTCTGGGTGTACACGCGTAAGTTCATGTGTACGTGTGTGTGTGTACGTGTGTGTGTACGTGTGTGTGTGTACGTGTGTGTGTACGTGTGTGTGTGTGTACTGGGAGCGCGTTATTGTAGGGAGCGCTGTTCTTGGAGCGATCAGCGCTACGAACCCGGCGACCCGGGTTCGATTCCCGCTCACAGCCAACACCGGTGACGATTTTCTGAACCGGTCCTGGGCCTCCCCTAGGTCGACTCAGCCTCAAACGAGTACCTGGTGCGGTGTGTAAACATCGCCACTGGGGAGACAAAGGCGGTCGAGCGTGGTGCTGGACACCTACCCCCTCGTGCGCCGTGCCAGCTTTCAAAGGTGCTGCCGCTCGCTAACATCACTTGCCCCAACAGTCTGTGCAGGCTATACGGGGGATCTTTGTCGTTGTGTGTACTACGTGCGTGTGAATGTAGGGAGCGGTTCGTTGTAGCGGTTAGCGGTTAGCGGTACGCTGCGCTACGGACGATCCCGGCCACACGAGTTCGACTCCCGTTCATGGTCACCGACACCGTTTGACGGTTATCTGCTGGGCCTCTTCGAGTTCGACTTAAATGAGTGCCTGGTGCGGTGTGTAAACATCGCCACTGGGGAGACAAAGGCGGCCGGGTGTGGTGCTGGCCACCCACCCCCTCGTGTGCCGTGCCGGCCTTCATAGGCGCTGCTGCTCGCGAACAGTGCTCGCCCCAAACAGTCTGTTAGAGCGATACGGGGAAATCTGTGCGTGTGTTGTGTGTGTGTTGTGTGTGTGTGTTATGTGTGTGTCATGTGTGTGTTATGTGTGTGTTATGTGTGTGTGTGTTATGTGTGTGTTATGTGTGTGTTATGTGTGTGTGTGTTGTGTGTAGTATGTGTGTTATGTGTGTGTGTGTGTGTTATGTGTGTGTGTTATGTGTGTGTGTTATGTGTGTGCGTTGTGTGTGTTGTGTGTGTTATGTGTGTGTTGTGTATGTGTGTTATGTGTGTGTTGTGTGTGTTGTGTGTGTTGTGTGTGTGTGTTATGTGTGTGTGTGTTATGTGTGTGTTGTGTGTGTTATGTGTGTGTGTTGTGTGTAGTATGTATGTGTGTTATGTGTGTGTTATGTGTGTGTTGTGTGTGTGTGATGTGTGTTATGTGTGTGTGTGTTATGTGTGTGTCGAGGGTTGGTTTGGTTGTCGTTCAACGTGCAAATGCGTGAGTTAGTTTGTGCACACACACACACGCGCGCGCGTGTGTGTGTGTATGCCCCACAGAGTATGTTAAGGCGATACGGGGGATCTTTGTCCACCTCACGTGCTTGCGTGCATTGCATCTCGCGAGTACTAAACGCGCCTGCTGGTGTGTCGTTCCCGTCTTAATAGGTGCTCGCAAACACCACGCAGTGCCGACAGACACGGCCTATGGAGGGGGCTGATCTGTGTGTTGGCTTTGCTGCGGCCTGTCCGTGTTGAGCTGGAGAGCGAGTTCCGTGCGCGTGTTATTGGTTAGCTGAAAAGGAATAGTCACCCGTGTGTGTTCATGCGTGTGTGTGTTAATGCGTCTGTGTATTCATGTGTGCGTGTTCATGCGTCTGTGTATTCATGTGTGCGTGTTCATGTGTATGTGTTCATGTGTGTGTGTTCATCCGTGTGTGTTCATGTGTTTTGTGTGTTCATGCGCGTGTGTGTTCATGCGCGCCTGTGTTCATGTGTGTGTGTTCATCTGTGTGTTTGTTGCTAATGCGCGCGTGTGTTCGTGCGTGTGTGTTCATGTGCATGTGCTCGTTTGTTTGGTGTGTTCATGCGTGTGTGTGTTAATGCGTCAGTGTATTCGTGTATGCGTGTTCATGTGTGTGCGTTAATGTGTGCGTTCATGTGCGTGTGTTCATGTGTGTGCGCGCCGAGTTCGAGTCGGGAACACGGCTAACATCAGTGGCTGCGAATGACATCTGAACCGATCCTGGGCCTCCCCTACAGGGTCCACTCGACTTTCGAACGAGCGCCTGTTGCAGTGACACAAAAACACAAGTCTGAGAAGACAAAGGCGGCTGGGAGCGGTACCGACCACATCACCCCATCATCGTCGTCCGTGTCCGGCCTTCCTAGGTACTCGCTAATAGCACTTGTCCCAAAAGTATGTTCAGCCTTTGCAGGGGATCTTTGTCTTTGTGTGCGCGCGTGTGTGTGTGTATATATATGTGTGTGTTTTTATATATATGTGTGTGTGTTTATATGTGTGCGTGTTTGTGTGTATGTGTGTGTGTATACGTGTGTGTATATGCGTGCGCGTGTGTGTCAGTGTGTTCATGCGTGTGCTTGTGTGTGCATATGTTTGAGTGTGTGTGTATAAGTGCATTGTGTGTGTGTATATGTATATGCGTGCGTATGTGTGTGTCCATAATGTAGACATTCGAGTATATATGCGCGCGTGTGTTAATGCGTGTGCTTGTGTGTGTGTTAATGCGTGTGATTGTGTGTGTGTTAATGCGTGTGCGGTAGTGTAGTGGTTAGCGCGCTGCGCTATGAACCTAGCAACCCGGGTTCGATTCCCGCTCACGGCTAACACCAGTGACGATTATCTGAACCGGTCCTGGGCCTCCCCTAGGTCGACTCGGCCTTCATAGGTGCTCGCTAACAGCACTTGCCCCTACAGTCTGCTAAGGCTACACGGGGGATCTTTGATCTTTGTTAATGCGTGTGCTTGTGTGTGTATGTTAATGCGCGTGTGTGTATATGGGGAGCGGTAGCGTAGCGGTTCACCCGTGCGTCCCGAGTTCGATTCCAGCTCACGACCAACACCGGTGACGATTATCTGAACCGGTCCTGTGCCTCCCCTAGGTCGACTCGGCCTCAAATGAGTTCCTGTTATGCGGTGTAAACATTCCCTCTGGGGAGACAAAGGCGGACGGAGAGTGGTGCTGGCCACACACCTCGTGTGTTGTGGCGGTCGCCCTTCATGGCTGACTCGCGAACTGCACTTGCCCCAAAACTACATCGAGGCTACACGGAGGGTCGGGGGGGATCTTTGTCATTTGTTGTGTTGAGATTGTAATTTGTAGCCGTCGAATGTGCAACTTGGTTAAGTGTGTGTGTGTGTGTGACGACTCGTGTGTGTGTGTGTGTGTTTGTGTGTGTGTGGGTTGTGTGTGTGTGGGTTGTGTGCGTGTGTGTGTGCGTGTGTGTGTGTTTGTGTGCCTGTGTGTGGGTTGTGTGTGTGTGTGAGTTGGCGTGCGTGTGGGTTGTGTGTGTGTGGGTTGTGTGTGTGTGTGGGTTGTGTGTGTGTGGGTTGTGTGTGTGGGTGTGTGACGACTCGTGTGTGTGTGTGTGTGCGTGTGTGTGTTTGTGCGTGTGTGTGGGTTGTGTGTGTGGGTTGTGTGTGTGGGTTGTGTGTGTGTGGGTTGTGTGTGTGGGTGTGTGACGACTCGTGTGTGTGTGTGTGTGCGTGTGTGTGTTTGTGCGTGTGTGTGGGTTGTGTGTGTGGGTTGTGTGTGTGTGTGAGTTGGCGTGTGTGTGGGTTGTGTGTGACGACTCGTGTGTGTGTGGGTTGCGTTGTGTGTGTGGGTGCGACTTTAGGATATTTGGGCTTCTTTTTCCAGAGTCGTTCTTTCTCGTTTGCCGTTGCGAGGAGTCGTAACATGAAAACTTTTGACCAAGCAAACCTGAGTTCGGTAAGTGTCTTCTACAAACCGTGCATCTCACGCGCTCTGTGTGACCAATGATACGTCTTGTGGGCAGTGTTCATCTCTGTTGGTCTATGTGCCTGCTATTCGTCTGTGGACAATGCTACGTCTATGGGCAATGTTAGTCTATGGGCAGTGTTAGTCTATGGGCAGTGTTGAGTCTATGGGCAGTGTTAGTCTATGGGCAATGTTAGTCTATGGGCAGTGTTAGTCTATGGGCAGTGTTAGTCTATGGGCAGTGTTAGTCTATGGGCAATGTAAGTCTATGGGAAATGTTAGTCTATGGGCAATGTAAGTCTATGGGCAATGTTAGTCTATGGGCAGTGTTAGTCTATGGGCAATATTAATCTATGGCAGTGTTAGTCTATGGGCAATGTTAGTCTATGGCAGTGTTAGTATATGGGCAATCTTAGTCTATGGCAGTGTTAGTCTATGGACAGTGTTAGTCTATGGCAGTGTTAGTCTATGGGCAATGTTAGTCTTGGGCAGTGTTAGTCTATGGGCAATGTTAGTCTATGGGCAGTGTTAGTCTATGGGGAGTGTTAGTCTTGGGCAGTGTTAGTCTATGAGCAATGTTAGTCTATGGCAGTGTTAGTCTATGGGCAGTGTTAGTCTATGGGCAGTGTTAGTCTATGGGCAGTGTTAGTCTATGGGCAATGTTAGTCTATGGCAGTGTTAGTCTATGGGCAATGTTAGTCTATGGCAGTGTTAGTCTATGGGCAGTGTTAGTCTATGGGCAGTGTTAGTCTATGGGCAATGCTAGTCTATGGGCAATGTTAGTCTATGGCAGTGTTAGTCTATGGGCAGTGTTAGTCTATGGGCAATGTTAGTCTATGGGCAATATTAGTCTATGGGCAATGTAAGTCTATGGGCAGTGTTAGTCTATGGGCAGTGTTAGTCTATGGGCAATGTAAGTCTATGGGAAATGTTAGTCTATGGGCAATGTAAGTCTATGGGCAATGTTAGTCTATGGGCAGTGTTAGTCTATGGGCAGTGTTAGTCTATGGGCAGTGGTTAGTCTATGGGCAGTGATGAGTCTATGGGCAATGTTAGTCTATGGCAGTGTTAGTCTATGGGCAATGTTAGTCTATGGCAGTGTTAGTATATGGGCAATCTTAGTCTATGGCAGTGTTAGTCTATGGGCAGTGTTAGTCTATGGCAGTGTTAGTCTATGGGCAGTGTTAGTCTATGGCAATGTTAGTCTCTGGGCAGTGTTAGTCTATGGGCAGTGTTAGTCTATGGGCAGTGTTAGTCTATGGGCAATGTTAGTCTATGGCAGTGTTAGTCTATGGGCAATGTTAGTCTATGGCAGTGTTAGTCTATGGGCAGTGTTAGTCTATGGGCAGTGTTAGTCTATGGGCAGTGTTAGTCTATAGGCAATGTTAGTCTATGGGCAGTGTTAGTCTATGGGCAATGCTAGTCTATGGGCAATGTTAGTCTATGGGCAGTGGTAGTCTATAGGCAATGTTAGTCTATGGGCAGTGTTAGTCTATGGGCAATGCTAGTCTATGGGCAATGTTAGTCTATGGCAGTGTTAGTCTATGGGCAGTGTTAGTCTATGGGCAGTGTTAGTCTATGGGCAGTGTTAGTCTATGGGCAGTGTTAGTCTATGAGCAGTGTTAGTCTATGGGCAATGTTAGTCTATGGCAGTTTTAGTCTATGGGCAATGTTAGTCTATGGCAGTGTTAGTCTATGGGCAGTGTTAGTCTATGGGCAATGTTAGTCTATGGGCAGTGTTAGTCTATGGGCAATGTTAGTCTATGGGCAATGTTAGTCTATGGGCAGTGTTAGTCTCTATATGAGCCGTGTCCGTTATCAGAGACGTGTCCTTCCCTCCACTGAGCTCTCCCCGCGATCTCCACTCATCAACTTGGCATCGGAAGCTCCTCCCAGATTTTCCTTTTCAAACCGGTAACCGATTCTGAAAACGGTTTATCGGTTCATCGTTTTCTCATTGCTGCTGTAACATAACCTCGTTATCCGTCTCGTGTCTGTGAGTGGTGCGTGAAATGTGTGTACCACCCTCCTTCATAGACTGGCACAGAGACCCATAGACTCACATAGAGACCCATAGACTTGCATAGAGACCCATATACTCACATAGAGACCCATAGACTTGCATAGAGACCCATATACTCACATAGAGACCCATAGACTTACATAGAGACACATAGACTGGCACAGAGACCCATAGACTCACATAGAGACCCATAGACTTGCATAGAGACCCATAGACTTGCATAGAGACCCATAGACTAGCATAGAGACCCAGCGACTCACAGAGACACAGGAAAGGTTCAGATAATCGTCAGTGGTGAATAGTGGCCGTGAGCGGGAACCGAACTCGGGTCGCTGGATTCGTAGTGCAGCACGCTAACCGCTGCACCACCGCTCCCCATTACACACCCACACACGAAGCGTGGTATGTACTGTGTTGTACATAAACGCATGCAGAGTATATACACACACACACAGGGGATGCAAACATAGCAATATAATACGTACGCACTATAAACACATTGTATATTTACTATACATATATACACACACACACATTCTACGTATTCGTGAACGCAAATATTCACACGCCTAACGACTTGCTGTGCAACTCGGGTTAGCACGGTTGCCTACGTACGGTGCGAGAGAAGTTCAACACACATACGTCAGCCGTGGTTAATCCACTGCTGGATGAAGACCTCCCTCGGCCGCTATTGCCTCTGTGTCTATGCACACACACACACGTATAGATAGATTTAACTATAAACCGATAACCGTTTTCAGAATCGGTTACCGGTTTTAGGCACGAACGCACCGATTGGACACGCGCGTTCAAAGACTAAGGCGCAGCCCCTGCAATTGCTGGCGGCAAAAAAACAAGCGATGGCCATTTAACACGCCTAACAAAAACTAAAACCGGTTATAAAAATGTGCGGTTACCGTTCATGCAAAAGAACGAACCGATATTGATAACCCAACAGGATACACAGTTTATTTATATTTTTTAATACACAACGACAGAACATATTCTTGGGGTCTTTCGGTAAAGTCGCGTCGATTAGAAAACATAACAAAACTTTCTAAATCACGACGTTTCGATCGCAAAGCAAGCAACCGTCTTCAGGTGAAAAAAAGACAACTTGCTTGCGTTGCGATCGAAACGTCGTGATTTTTATTTTGTTATTTTTCCTATCTACGTGGCTTTACCGAAAGACCCAGCGAATATGAATTTCCCTGCAGTCACGAAAGCTTTAAGTCAAGATTTAACACAAACACTACACAACACGCAAATATATAAATACATGCACAGCACTCGACACTACATACAAAATATCTCCCCGTGTAGCCTCAACGGACATTCGGGGCAAGTGCTGAAGGGTGGGGTGGGGGGCAGCAACCACGCCCGGCCGCCTTTGTCTCCCCAGTGGCGCTGTTTACACACCGCTGCACCAATTGCTCATTTTAGGCTGAGTCGACCTAGGGGAGGCCCAGCACCGGTTAAGATGAGTCGGCGCTACATATATACTGTACGAACACACACACGTACATTATCTTATAACATATACACACACACATACATTATGTTATAATATATATACACACGTTATAAAGTATATTTAAAATGTCAACTTGGACGACTATACACTGTACTCACAGGAATAGTCCAAAGCGTAGAATATTAAATTTATACACACGCGGACGCATATTCCTAAAACGGGAAAACAGTGTTGTTACTCGTGCGCTAGTGCACGATCATCATCAGCAGCATCATCATCAGCAGCATCATCATC